AGGAGGAAGGAGGAAGGAAGAAGGAAGAAGGAAGAAAGAAGGAAGAAGGAGGAAGGAAGCAGGAAGAAGAAGGAAGAAGGAGGAGAAAAAGAAGAACAACGCCATCGATATTTGTGACAATGCTAATGATAACAACAACAATAATTGAATTGCAACAATAACAATAAACATCAACAATGAGGACAATCAACGACAATCGTGTTCAATCAGAAACCCATACTCACCCAATCATAGTAGCCATTAACTCCCATTCAAAATCCATTCAAAACCCATTCAAAATCCTATGAAAATCCTATGAAAATCCTATGAAATGATGGTGAAATCCCGATCTCAGGTACAGCACCATCATGGCCTCCATGGCGGTCGCCAGCACTTGTGGAGCTTCTCCTTGGCCACCGCTGCTGGCACGAACCCTGGGGAAATGTTGGGGAAATGGATTGAAAAACACCGTTTGAAATATGTTGCGGGAAATGGATTGAAACCATTTGAAACCTGAAAATGTGGAAACAATCATATCTTTCCAGGATTTTCCAGGAATCTCAAGTCAACTTTGTCAACTTTCGCCAAATTTCGTCGTTTTGGCACACCACTGGCCTCCTGCTCCTGACGTCTTGCGCAGTTCTATTGCCTGGGTGTGATGGTGACGGTTTTGCGGTGCTACTCCTCCGTGCTGGTGCTGTCCTCATGGGAAAATCCTATGGGATGATGGCTATCATTGCCATACACTATAAAATTATGATTCATATGGTGGAAAAATCCATGAAAATCCACTATAAAATGATTATAGATGATTTTTTCGTCATTTTTTCGTCATTTTGGCATGGACATTGGCCATTCGTCCCATCTCTAACATCATGGTTGAAAAGGTCCCAGGTTCCCAGCCATCGTCTCTTAGGCGGTCAGATTGCAGGATTTCGCCGCCGGAACATGCCGAAGAGTTTCGCCCCAGGACTTTGCAGAGATTCCGGTGAAAGATTGCGAGATTCACCATGAAAAATGGTGGTTTCATGGTGGTTTCATGGTGGTTTAACGGTGGTTTAATGATGGTTTAATATCATATAACTGATGATATAACTAAGCAAGAATATGATATTCTTGGTGATGCCTCGATGGAGCCAACCTGAACAGGATAGACTCCAGCCGCGCTCGGTTGGATCCCTTTGGGGAGTGCGATGATTGAACATCCTGCGGTTGTAAGATCTTGTCCTGAATGATCTGAATGTGACATTCTGGTCGAACAGTTGCCAGTCTTGATGTTACACGTACCTGGTATACCTCCCTTCTAGGCTCAAAACAGTAGTTTGAACGGATTTGAACGGTGTCATTCCTGTCTCTGTGCACATGGTCGCTGAAAAGTCACCGCTATGGTGGGGGTCTGTGATCAGCTGGCTGTCATTGATGCAAAAAAATGAGATCGACGACAACTCTGTGGAATGTCTTCTCCGACTCATCGATCAGAATCCCCAAAGTTTCAAGTCCTTCATTCGGCGCCAACGTGCCGAGACGTTCCCCTATGAGGAAGTCGAGGCTCCGGAATCTCCGAAGGCTCCCGAAGAATTCGATCAGTTCGAGGTTGAGGAGGACGAGGTTGGCACTGCCATGATCGACATCAGTCCGACCAGAAAGTGTCAAACCCTCCGTCGGAGTTGTGATTCAAAGGAATGCCATTCAGTTTCGCTCAGCTTGTGAGCCCTACTTCATGATTTAGAAGTGTCACTTTGTCTAAATGGAACTTGAATGAGGTGGTAGCTGCTACGTGCTATGGTACCTCTTTCGCCATGATGAGTGCGTTTCATTGCTTTAAAACACACCAGTCAGCAATTGTATTTTTGAAGAGTTTTGTGCTGTCTTGGTGTTGATTCCTTTTTTCCGGGGTCTGGAATTGTTGCACCTAAGGGGGTGCGCAGCAAGCTCCTGGTGAATGTTTAGTGCTGTTGTTGTAGTTCCGGGGTCTGAAATTGTTGCACCTAAGGGGGTGCACAGCAAGCTCCGGGTGAATATCCAGTGCTGTAGGTAGTTCCGGGGTCTCAAGTTTTTGCACCTAAGGGGGTGCACAGCAAGCTCCGGATGAATATCCACAGCAAGCTCCTCATTCTGCCACAGGGTGGAATTTGCACGGGAGGTCGCGACGCTTCAGGCATGGGCCTGTGGCAAAATGTCAGACCTGTTTGGCATGCACAATGATGACGATGACGATGACGAGGATGACGATGATGACGATGATGATGATGATGATTATTATTATTTATTATTATTATGATATACTATGATATACTATTATCACCATGATGATGATGATGGTTATAGAATCCTCACCATCCTCCTCATCCACCCCCATCCAGCCGCATCCAGGAGCTCCAGGATGTTGTGGGAACCAGTGACATCCAATGCCAAGTGGAGGTCTGCTGTCGTTGGATGAGAACCATGAGATCATCCACTTAGATTCATGGGATATAAACTGATATAATTGATATAAAACGAGGTATTCTTATCAGACATGGACCATAATGTTTATATATATATAATGCTTATATGGGATATACTCCAGTTCTATACGTGGGTTATTAACACTTTTCGAAGTTTGGATGCACCCCCAAAGTGTGAAAATGGATGGTTGAGATACTGGCGAACATGTTGGGAACATGTTGGGCTCTAAACTCGCACCTTGCAATTTTGGAGGATCAGAGGTTATACTCCGGGTAGATTGTTGATATTTGATGAAATTTGAGAGACTTTGAGGTTAGCATTGGTGTTTGGAATGACTTTTAATTTTGAAAACTGGATTTGAAACAGAAATATTGAACCAATTTTGCAGCCCTGGCTCCGGAAACGGCCGAGGGGTTGAGCTGATGTCAGAAATGTATTTCAGCACTTCTGGGACAAACATGTCCTGGTTTTTCCCCAACTGTCATATTGTTGGCTATATATCAAGTCCTATTATATCCCCATAAAATATCATAACATATCATAAAATATCATAAAATATCATAAAATATCATAAAATATCATAAACATTTCATAAACATTTCATAAACATTTCATAAAACATCATAACCTATCACCATAACATGGTGGGTTTTGCAGGGGTAAACCCACTAAATCCCATATCTTTGACACTTAATCTTAATCCATGTTAATCTGAAAAAATCCCCATGAACATCCCTTTGGTGCCACCAAAACAACCAGCCCCCGCTTCACCATGGAAAGTCATGGGCCCCTCTCGCTCCGCGGCGCCTTGCCACCTGCCGTGCTGCAGCAACGGCTTCTGGCCATGCTGCAGTGGTTGGATGAGACGCTGACGGCTGCGGGGATTCCTTGGTGGATCACCGGGGGCACCTTATTGGGAGCCATGAGACATCAAGGATTCATACCACATGATGATGACATTGATATTGAACTCCTTGAAGAAGATCTTCCCAGAGCTCAAACAGCTTTAGGCACATCTGGGGGTTTGTTTTTTTTTTTTTCCGAGGGTCAATCCAGTTGAACTCACTCACATTTTTGTGTTTTCCAGGTGCTATTGGCAGCAGCTATCGTGGCCTGGGGCAGTGGACCAACAGCGACGTCCGCATGGGCCGCTTCTTTTTCTGGGGCCGCGACGGGCGATTCTCGGAATCGGTGGATGTGTTCCTGCGGGAGGGGCGACCCTTGCGGCAGCTGGAGGAGTTTCCATCCGAGGAGGACGGAAGTGACTGGTGAGCGGTGAAAATCATAGGGGAAAAACATCATATATCCCACTAGAAATGACGAGAACAAATTGAAACTTCAAAAAAGTTCAAACAACTTTTTTTTGCAAAAACGGTGTTGGTATGTCTTGGTATAACTCATTTAAAGATATTTAAAGCACCGTGATCACTGAGGAGGTCTTCCCACTGCGACGGGTCGCCTTTCACAACATTTCGCTACCCGCACCCAGTGGTGCCAAACCATTTCTGGAGCGCTGCTACGGACGCTGGGCCGACGAGGTGGTTGTCTGGAGTCACTCGTCCTCATCGCGACGGATGCATCGGCTGTCGCTGCAGGAGTATATGGAAGGTGGGTCAAGCTGAATGTTTTCCTATTCTTTTTTTTGGATATTTTTTTTGGATCATTTCTGAAAATTGAACAGTTTTGGGGGGTATCAACAACCCCCAAAAAGTTGAGATTCGAATCATAGTGAATCCATCTTTTCATGTTTCCTCACTAGATTCCATGATTTCCATGGTTCATTCCTGTTCCATGGACCGTTTCAAAGGAAGACACACCACCTATGGCATGCCACTGACCCCCACCAGGTGTCACTGCTGCCGGCTACGTGGCTCCCATGGTGTCGGACCCGTTGCGCGCGGATCTGTCGGTCGTGGGGTTAGACTCCGCCGGGGACTTGCGGCAGACGCTGTGGAAATCCCTGGGATGGGCGTCGCCGTGGCCGCTGGAAGATGCGGAGGATGCACTGGACATGTTGGGTTTGGAGGAAAGATGTTGGCTGCTGGGTGAAGGATGTGAAGGATGTGAAGGATGTGAAGGATGTGGTTTAGGGATGCAGTTGAAGAACTGGTTGTTGAAGGATGAAGCGGAATGCTTGGCTGCTGTGGAAAGGGTGAAACTGATGACCGGATGCTTCTTGGAACTCACTACTGATACCACTGACCCTGCGCTGAAGCGTTTTTCGATGCTTCGTGCAGTAGGTGGGAGCACTGAGCTCTCTGCTGTGGAGCCGGCGTTTGGTGAGATCTTCGCTTCTTGAAGGTGGAAATTTGGATGTCTGTCTTAACATGGAAACTGCTCAGTTTCCACTCGTTTTCTGTGCTCATTAGATAAATCTATCTTCCATTTTTTGGGAGCATGATGGATGAATCCCTCAATATCCCTTCATTTTTGGACAGTATCCAGATTTTCTGCTGGTTTTGCAGAGTTTCACCTCGTCGAAAGTGCCTCAATTTTGTGGCACCTCCACTGGATGGCCCCAGCAGCACCATTTTGAAGCTGGTTGTAAATAGGACCCATGTTTTCAAACATGACATGACAGCTGTATCGACAACCTGCGTTGCTCCAAGAGGACCAGTGATGCTTCCAGATGTTTGAAGGTTTGATTTGGATTTGGAGATGATATAGGATGATATAGGCATGGGTTTAAAGTGTAACCTCACATTGGGATTCTAAATCTGGATTGATATAAAGTGTGGCCTGTGCATTTGTGCCAGGACCCACACGCCGGGGCACCCAGCAACCCCAGGACTCAATGCAACTCCAAGTTCTACGGGATACTCTCGGTTAGAAGACCTGTACTCCTGTAAGAAAGTTTGCAGTCCACCTTGTAAAATGCAGATTTTCTCTATGTTTTCCTCACATTTTGGTGCAGAAGACTTGGACCGGTCGCCATTTTCTCCGGGCCCTGGGCCCTCTATTTGGGCCGCCGCATGGGATGGCAGCTCAAGGCGAGGGGTTGGGAGGTGATGTCAACAAAAATCCTCCAGATTTTTTGATGTTTTTTTTTTCCACCAGGATTTTTTGAGATGAAATTCACTTCCAGATTTGATGTCAACTTTTTTGATGGTGTAAATGTGATGGTTCCACCAGATTTGATGACTGGATTATCTGGATTATTCATCCTCTATAGTCTATGATGCTTAAATCTTCCCTGTCTTTCAGCACTCCTGGCTGTGAGAAGTGGAAATTTTGGACCTAACCCCCCAAGAAACCTGAATAAGTTGCTTGCCCTTTGCGATTTTAATCAACTTCCGTATTGGTTTTTGTGATCTTTGGTCATTTGGGGTTCCAGGGATGCATGTTGATACGCATACGCACCATGGTCGCCTGTTGAGTGGCTTTTCGGCTTTCGATGCGAGACATGATGCGAGACATCATTAACCCAAGGGCCCTGGGGAAGAAGAGCAGTTTCTGACAGCTCATGCAGATCAAAACTGACCGCAACCGAGTTCAAAATGCTAGTGGACAAGTTTCAAGCCATGAGGTTTCAATCTGAAACAAATGAAGTGTTTAAACAATCCTCATCCCCAAAATCATAAAAATCATCTCGAGGCTTTCATGTTATTCAATATGTTTCAATATGTTTTAATGACATTTAAACTCATTTTTCATGACCTGAAAATGCTTGGAACCCATTGATTTCGCCATCCACTGGGATCTGGGTGCTGCTTGCAATGATGCTGCGAGCTGAAGCCCGAAGTGCACCACTTCTGGAGGCCTCGGGCTCGGCAGTCATGGATGCCTCATTGGTGCAGATCTTGGATTTTATGTACAAGGTGCCCCATGGATGGTGCTGTTTTCTGGTGGGATGGTCTATCATTGAGAGTTTTCCATGGATTTTTTTAACCACATGTCGCATTCATGCTGAATGTTTTGAAATTGCTTGGTTCGTTAACCCATTGGGGTTGAAATTCTAGAATCATGAACTTGTATATTGATGATATCACTTATATCATAACTATTCATAACTTATATTTTCCACATTTTCTAGTAGAGATCCACATTTTCAGATCCAGAGCCTTCAGGTAGAGCTCTTTCAAAAGTTGGATCCAGAAGAAATCCTGCGACTTGCCCGTGCCTTCACCCACCGCGAAGCTGCAGATGGAGATCGAATCGTTTCTCAAGGTGAGAGTCGTCTCAAAAGCCAGCGATTTCATGGGGTTTTTCAGATGATTTGGGGGACATTGGCTGATTTTCCCAAGGGGAAATCCACATAAATCCACCATTTTCGGGGACACATCATACACATCCCCAGGTGAAGAGGGTTCTGAGTTGTTCTTCATCGAATCCGGAACTGTCTCAGTGCGTGTGGGTGATGAAGAGAGGGAGATCACAACTCTTTCGCAAGGCCTGGGTAAACCTTGGTTCAGTAGTTATCTTATAGTTTGCTTTTCAGCCATATCTGTCTATCAATATATCTACCTATCTATCTACCTATCTATCTATCTCTCTATATCTATACAGTATATTAATATACAAATGGGCAAGATGTTCTGCAGCCAGTCCTGGACTTCGTTGTGCCGTTGTCTTTTTTTTGGATACGAAATACCCTCTGGTAAACTAACGTAACCATGGAAAATCACCATGCTATTAATGGGTAAATCCACTATTTCGACTGGGCCATTTTCAATAGCTTTTTGTATGTTTACCAGAGGGTATTTGATGCGAGAAAAACATGGGGTTTTCCAGCTCAGAATTGGATCCATCGAGGCGATTACTTTGGTGAAACGGCTTTGGTTCAGAAAGCCCCCCGCAATGCCACCGTGGTGGCGATGGGTGACGTTCGCCTGCGGCTTCTTTCACATGATCAGTTTGAGGAATTCGACCTACATCGCAAGTTGCAGTTGGAAGTGCGACATGCCAACATGAAGACAGGTAGGGATGATGAAATGCTTGGAACACTATATATGTGGTTGATGATTTATTGTCATAAATAAATACATCATAATACATCAATATACATATATTGTCTCATGTTTGATGATCATTTATATTGTTGATTTACTATACGGTTTGATATGGTTTGTATGG